AAAATATAGCAAGACACCATTGTCTGGGGCCCACAAAATAGTAAATCCACCCCTGAAAAAAACGCCCAAGTCATGGGCACTAGCGTCACAATCACTGGTGAAATACACTTAGAGAAGGCATCAATTTCCAAACAGGCAAATTAGTCACAACCCTGCCCCACCACTGCACAAGGTGCTGTTTACTCGTATATTTAAAGTTTATTATTATTTAACATATCATGTTTCCAAATTCAACACTCCACGTCCTTGGGTCCCCAGCAATACACCCCTCCACCTCCCAATGACAAGGTCAGCTCCATATGATCAGAGCTCTCTCACTTCAGAAATGTTGATATGATACATATGAAAGATACAGATGGAATGTATCCCTGGTTTCCAGAAACAACCCATGCCAGTATATTCTTTTGGTGACTGGGCTGCACCCCGCCAAGTCTTAAGTAAATTGGATGAACGGTTCTTGAGATATGTGATGGACATATTGACAGCCAGACAGGGATTCCTTGCTTTATACTTAGATAATCACAGTCGAGGTCTTAACCCTCAAAAATGAATGGGTCTCTCTTGCACTTTTGCATTTTTAATGACTTGCCTCAATTCCCTCCTTAATCAGGGAAGAAATTTTTCATTTACATTATGAGAGAATTATTGATCCTCAACCTCCTTGTCTCTCTTTGTCTGTAGTTTTGATATCTGAGGTTTTGATATCAGATTTAATGCTGTAAAAAAAAAAAAAAAAAAAAGTTTGAAAAAAAGAGAGCCACTTTCATTTATTCTCCGCTTTGCCCTCATTACTGCCCCCACACGTTATGGTCAAACACACACCAACGCTCGAATGTCACCTGCAGGTTGTACTTGCCAAAATGTCTGATGAGATAAGAAATGATGAAAGGCTCCATGCTCAAACAAAAGAAAAGTTCCCTTGGCAGTATGGGAGCTTTCTGGGCTCTGTAAGAAGGAAAGTGATGAAACACATGAGTAGAACGAATGTCAGGCCTCACCAGAGAAACTGTGACCAACAAAGAAACGCACAGATCATAAAACTTTCTGACACAACCAGCCCACGGGGCTGCAAAAAGACTAAGTTTAGCCGCACCACATGGCTAATTAGCATTACTAGCCTGCCTGCCTGACACCTAACCTGTTAACTGGCTCTGACAAGTCTGTCAGGTGTCAGCGTTGGCTGTCTTTGGTGAAATATGTTGTGATGACTCTGGTGCAGTGATACGCTAACATCTCACAGAGTGGCATAGGTTCCCACTGGTGCACAAACAGGGATAACAGGGCCTCACACTCAGAGCTGGAGCATAAGGCAGGACACACAATGGAGAGGAGACAATAGATTTAACTCTACATAAGAATTAATCTATTCTGTCACTACAGCATATTAAACATTTAGGCTGTGTAGCACTCCATAGGCTGCAGCTATAGATAAGAGTCCAGCAATGCATTTAAGCAAAAATACTAATAGTGTAGTTGTTCTAAGAAGGATGAGCCTGCAAGAAATGACTCTCAGCATTATGGAGCATGAACAGTGCTGCTGAGGCTGAAGTCTTGTCTACAGTATCACTGCAGTGTGTGATGCGGCGCACTGCAATTTAACTGTCGATTAGGCTGTGATCGCACAGGAGACGCATGAACCTTATTACCTTCGCAGAGGAGGTTATATTTTCAGTCTCATTTGTTAGTTTGTTTGTCTGTTAGAGAACAAGATAGCTCAAAAACTGCTTACAGATTGTGATGAAATTTGGTGAAAGGTTATACCATGGCCTCAACCAAACATAGATGCACATCATCCATTTATTAAATGGACTTATTAACACTTCAAGATAGAGAATTCATTAAATATTGGCCACAACTCCCAAACTACTACTCTCTGAATGAAAAAACCTGGCATGCCTTGAATAATTCCCCATCTCTCTGTATTTTACAGCAGATCCCAATCCCAATGTAGATTAAACAACATTTTTGAGCACTTAAATAACAAATAAAGTTGGAGGATTGTGCAGCCTTGTTGGAGGTGTGTACTTCGGGTGCTTTCTACACACACTTTTGGGGCACTGCCCTGGGCGCTCCTGGTTCATGTGTCTAAACTTAAGCCACATAGCATAAATATTTAAAGTAGCCCTTGAAGTGGGCACTATCTCAGCAGAGTTTTTGGACAAGATGATAAAACTCAGTGCCCTGTTCTCTCTGGCAGGATGTCATGAACCCAAATCTGTTGCAAAATGGGCTAGCTCTCTGCTGTCCGTTTTTATTCTCAACACTGTTGTCCCTGTTGTTGTAGCTAATGATAACAGTTTTATACCAACAAGATCCCGTGCTAGTCTTTGCATCTTTTGAGCTGTTGCTATCCATGTTATGCACCACAGTATTCATGGATAGCCTCTAGAGCAGGAACGAAGGGGCGTCATTTTTGAAACAGCAATATAATCTGTCAGTTTATAATTGCTTAAAGGCATAAGAGGGTGACATGATTAGTTGAGCACAGCCATAAACAACGTTGTCCATTGGAAGAGCAAACCACCTTAAGCCTGGAATAATGGGATCCTCCAAATTGGGCATTTGGTATTTCTACTACAAGCCAAGATTTGCATCTGACATTTAAATGTAAACATTCTGTGATATTGCATTCATAATTCTGGATACTTAAAGTTCGTTCTAAATAGCACTGAGATGGAGCATCCAGGTAGGACCACACCAACCTTAAAAAACCATGGCAGTGATTTTCCATATAGTCCATTAACTACAGCTTACATGCAGTATATTACTTCCAACCAGTTTTAAAGATACCATCAGTTTGAACTGTTTCCACTCATTTCAGCACAGCTTAAAAATCATCAAGCAGAACCTTAAACATGCTTAAGAAAGATTATCTGGGACACTGACTACTAAGTCTTCTATTTATTTGTTCTTTTTGGGTGGTACACTATACAAGGAAGGACCTTTTGGAAAAACTCTTTCCTTTGGTTGGGCTGAAGGTCTGCTGCCAAACAACATTGCAATGTAAGACACTACCAATTTCACATTCATATTCTTTAAGCATTATTGATATTTACTTTGTATTGTGTATGTCTTTCCTTACAACACAGCCCATGAATGCAATTCTTATTGGAGGCCATTTCTCATATTGAAGATAATAAGAGTATCCTTGAAAGCACCATCAAATGGTTTCAAGAGCAAATACCATGTATCTGCAGGTCCATTTTTTATACAATATTGACATGGACTGACACTAACGGCTACCTGGGTGATAGGAAATCATCCAAAAAGATTTTGGTGTGCTTACCAAAGAATACCATAAGATTAGCATTTTGTAACATCGACATAGTTTGTAGTTGGACTATAAAACATGCAAAATCCTGTGTGATCATTTAACCCTAACCACGATCCACTCCACATGGGAGAATGGCGCCAGGTGTATGTGGCTAGATGTGTCTTCAGGTCACAGCTGGATATACACCACTTGATGGCAACTCAAGTTGGACAGCTCTCATTGAGATGAAACACATGTGGGGTTGAAACTTGCCAAAGTGGAAGACAGCAAGACATGTCAAAAGCAACATACATCTAGGCAAAAAATATTTTTGCAATTTCAAGAAGAAATTTAGTCAGAAAGTCGGTCTCATAAAGATTCAACACTATTACGCTGCCTAGCATTTGAGTTAAACTGAGCCCCGGCTGAACACGCAACGGTCTGACTTGGACTAAAAATATTTGACAAGTGGCAAGAGTTAATGATCCTGACAAAATCTGAGCCTGAAACAGGACTCATTTGAGTGTTGATTTTTGATGTGATGATGCAATGTGGAAATGACATAAGCAGCCATACAGGGAGTCTAACTGGGTTTCTTACTAACTCATTAGAATTATCAGCTTCACAGGATGACCACTGCGATCATAGGTTACTCTCACTACTATTTCCTCCTCTCTACAGGTTACTGAATCAGTAACACCAAAACATCCTTCCTGATGTCATGTGGGACAAAATCTAGGTGAATTTGGGTCAGCAGGATTTTCTCTACTTCCTTTTTCTTGCTTTGATTTGGGAGTTCCTGACATGAAACCCTTAGATGGTTCCCCCCTCTGCTGTAGGCGTTATGTATCTGCGCACTGGTCGCCTACAGGGCGGTGGCTGCGCAAGCATGTCCAAGAGCAGGACAGTCTGTGGGGAGTTAAGGGAGTTGTCATGAGGAGACACTGATGCCTGGCTGCAGAAAGGCATCACACACGCAACCATACCTGCGCCTGATCCCAGCAGCCCAACTTTGAATGAGCGACTATGCCTTGCGCGGTCAGTAACGCATACCGACAGTCCTGGAGAATGTGTTCGCGCACACACAGCCACACACACATCCTGCCTACACTTAAACACAGTGCGCAAACTGGCCGCGCTGGAGACAAAAGCACAACTCAAATGCAGTCATGGCTACATCGAAGACTTTATGTCACATCTGCAAAGTCACAGATTTTAAGTCATGCGTGAAATGGCTTAAGCGGCCCAAAGAGGGCCGACAGTAGAAATGATCCACTCAATGACACCGGTCCACCAAACAAGACGCACGCCACCAACTGCTGTAACCTTTCGTGCATCCCTGTGTCAGCTTCAGAGGACATAACTGGATGAACAGACGAACAGGATGCGACTGCAGGCGAGTCATTTGCAGCCTGGAACATCATCTGCCACTTAATGGCAACCAAAAGAAGGGCAACATCCAAGTTGCCTCTGATACAAAAACTTGTGCAGCCGCATTCTGTTTTTCATTGCGCCGCACAATTCAACTTCCAGGCATTCCAGCACAGTCGGCACTGACAGCAGACAGCGACAGCCGTCCTCCGGCCAGAACTGCTGCGCAAACACACAACATTAGCGGGGAAAATCAACTCTCTCTCTACTGAATACTTCAACTCACGTGTGACATGAACACATATGATCTTTACACTTAACGCAGCCACCACCTCCCTGCACACCACGCCCGTCTACAGCAACATCCAGCGCTCACCTTTAAAGACGCTTGCACAGAGGCTGTAAAGGATGAAGATCAAGTGCTGCTTGACAATCATATTCTTCTCTTTTCCTTCACAATTTTACGTCGACACTCCACTCGCGTTTGTCTCTGTCTTTTTTTTGTCTCTCTTTCTGTCTCTTCTCCTCGGGATAGACTTATCCAGGTAAACGGCGCAGCTTCGGACTGACCGGAGTTACATTGATGAACTCTGCCTTTTCCAGAGAAGTCCCTGTGTATTTTTCGCAGATCCGGGGGCAGTGATTACTGTAGCCTAGTCTAGCAGGACGGCAGAGATGCTCGTCGGCAAAGTGCAGCTCCTGCCTCCCTTTATTGCCTTTCTCTTTAACTCGCTGCAGAGAGCAAGAGTCCCGCCCACGCTTTTTGACTAATGAAGACGCTTCACCAATAGAGAACACCTAGAAATAGTTCTGATCTCCGGTAAACTGTCAAAACAATTACACCGTGTCACATAAGGGTTACTTTCTTACTGCAATTTCGAGAGGGAACATCAGTAATCCTCAGATCAGTTTTAGAAGGTTCATTTAGCAAATGTCAGGGCAGAACAATAAACCTCTGCAGGAATATGGTGATAGTTTAGGCCCATCATAAAAAAATATAATAAAAAATAATAAGGTCATAAGGGACCAGTGTCGCCCACCATAGACCCTCTCTGAGGCTCTAAAAGGAAATAATAATGATGATGCTCTCGACCCCATGTTTTTCTGACAGTGTGAGTCTTAACTGTGAGAGTGCAAAAATCCATGCCAGTGATTTAATGTATTAAAATATGCCCACAGCTAGCAGAGTTAATTTAACACTTTTAGACAGTTTTGAACAGCTGCCCCAGAGCCATAATAGCTTTATGAGCAGACAAACAAGCCTGCAGTCAACACTAGACAACTCAAAATAAGTGTCACTGCAAAATTAACACTTATTATGACTTGGAAATGTGTACAATGCACACTGAGTGTCTTTCTTGGAGTCTTGGAAATACAATAAAAATGACAGCAGAGACAGACTTGCCTGTGTTGTGTGAAAAGGCGGTTGCTTTCCCAGAGGTTGTGGCCTGGTGTCTGGGTGTGTGTCAGGAATCACTGCACAGGCACAGGGGAGGTTAATGGGCTCCTGGACATCCCTCTTCCTTCAAAGGCTCCTATGAGTGGTGCACAGAAATGAGTGTGACCATCCCTAAAGACAGAGGTGGGAGGAAAGCAGCAGCTCCAGCCAGGGATCATTTTCTAAGCCCATCGCAAGGATTTTACACATGGTTTAACATGCTGCCGGTCAAATTTGGTTCAATTTTGCACAGTGGCCTTCCATGCCACTCCCACTTCAAATCAAATTGCTGACCTGGCCATACCACCTGAGAAAAAGCTGTGGTGCTAAAAATATATTTGAGGCTTTTTAAACATCAGCTTTTCTCTAGGAATAAATGTAAATGGCATGTGAAGCTCAGTCATTCATTATCTAAACAAGCAATCAGTTGCATCACTAATTTTCACTGCCAACCAAGAAATTAATGCAGCGTTTTTCGGCACATTCTATTCCAATACAACTTTTAATCAGAATGGGTCAAATGGGGACCTTTTACTAAGATGTGCGCTCATTCACTTTTGTATGCTGATGCTGCGTTTAGACTTTTAACTTGGAACCATGCACATCTCTAATCCCTGGGGAACCATTGTTGCCTTTCTGAACTGTAAACCTTGAAGAACTGAGCACTCTTGTGTTACATACATTCTCAATACAGCTCACTTATAATGCAGAGCAGAACTATACAAAGCCAATTACCATGAGGATGGTGGTAAAGAATCAATCCCATGTGTCCTGAAGGTCAATTCCTCGTCATTTCATTAGATCTTTGAGAGTAGAATTCTACTCATGCGCCTTTTAAACAGCGATAATTTATTGACCATGTGAGTTCAGCAGAAATGCTCGGGGTGCTGACACAGATCTGTAATGCAGAGTAGCATGTTCTCCTTTGCATTCATCTGTGGGACATTATACTGCATCCTACCCTGTGCTCTGTATCATTTAAAATGTCCAAACTGTGTGCATTGTTTGATTTAACAAGGTCACCAGCTACAGTATACTTCTGATCCTTGAATTTCAATACTAAGTTTCCACCAAAAAATAAATAAAAAATATCAAATATGAGACGCTATGTTTGCAAAGTGTACAAAAGAGAATCAAAGCAAAGACAAAAGACAATAGTTTAGGCTAAGCAGAATTACATTAATATGCATTAACCTGTCACTGATAGCATTTAATCCTCCTTGCTGATTGAAAAACAACTCATCCAGACACACTCGGTGCACAATCCATTTCAGGATGGGCCTGAATGACAGCAGTCGTGAAGGCTGAATGCTTTATGTAAATGGCGGGTGATGAAGTGCTGCACACAGGATCAGGACATGGCCTGTGTCAATCTTTTTGTCATTTAAGCAATAAATAAAACTGTACAGCGCACTACAGATTCTATAAGGATTTACATTTTTAGAGTTAACATTTAATCTTTCAACACCTAAACCTGGATCTTATTAAAAACTATGACTTTGACTCCCACTTTGAAGCAATAAGCTTGGCGCATGTGCCTCTCCTGCATATAACACATTTTTTAAAACTGGGATTTAGGGCTGTCCCAAAAGATTCAAAGATTCAAAGCCTCAACCATCATCCTGGAAATGGACGTCCAAATCAGTATTCAAACTCTATAGTAATCCAACATTATTTAACACTGTCTTTGGCTACAGTCTATTTATTCATTTGTTTATATGCCTACATATGATGTGTTTTTTATGGGGTATGGCTGTAATTCATTTGATATGATCAATGCACATTTTGAAGCAATTTTCTCTTTAAAAAATCAAAAGTCCTTGTTTCTAATTAGACTCATAACTAAAGTAATAGCAAAGTATATAGATAATAACTGCAAGTTTGGATAAAGTATGATATTGTGTTGTGCCCCATCCCTGTGGCTGAGCTTCAAATATTCACGGGTACTTCTAACCGAAGCATCGAAGCCCCAAAAATGATATTCTGGCCAGCCCAAGAGATTTAAAAGAAAAACTGTAAGCAATTCCTTCTTCTTTTTTTTAAAAACCACCTTATACATCCTGTGAAACCTTAGATAAAAATTCCACAAACATAATTTGGGGGTTACTGTATGACACTTGGAATGTAAATCAGCCATATGCTAGCTTTTAGCAGATATACTGGTATCAATGCAAATGTTGGCCAGTTAGTAGCAAAAAATTACAGAAAAGATGTCTGACGTATGTTTGAAGACATTTGAGATGATAAACACTGTCTCCATTACATAGTTTGTCCAGTTTGTTTATTTTTGTATTAAATGTCCTGCTCACTATGTCAGTTTTTAATGACTAAATTTAAAGGCTTTATATCAAAAATGGTCATTTGTTTATGTTAGAATATACCAACTGATATGATTATCTGACTTTTTAACCCTTAAATATTTATGTTAGTAATATAGTTATATTGAAGTGGTTAAGTTAAACCCAACAAAGGTCACTTTAAATCCACCTGCTTTGAACAAGATGTATAACACTCAGCTTTAATTAACCACAGAACAGTCATGCACATAACAATGACAATGTCGTATTAAACAACTTGTTCCCAGTTTGTATGTGTGTTGTTATGATTCAGAAATACCACAAAAAAAACACTGAGATTAAATTGTTCAGTTTTCAAACTAATGAGCTCCCAAAACACGCTTAATTAATGAATTCATAAGATTCAATTAAAAGTATCACTCACAAAAGCATTGCAGTTTGATTCTTACCTTGAGGGAGCATTACAGTCATGTTTTACACATTAGGAATACAAAGACTGAAAGCCTAGCCACCCTCCCATCCCTTTGTAACAACCTACTAAATACATAATGCAAATGTTGTCACTGAGATTACATCTTTTAATCCTATTTTTCATCAGACACATTATCAAGCACTTCTGTCACCCTCTGTTGAAAGTTTGTTTCATTTTGGAAGGGTTCCTGGCAAATTGGACTGTTCTGGAGTTAAGATTACTTACAGGACTTTTTCATGGATCATTTATTGCAATATAACAGAACACATATGGATTATATTCTACCTGAGAATATAAAACAGTGTTACTGCAGCATGTCATTTGTGGGCGATATATATCCCTTTAATTTGCTGTTCACTTCTTATGTTCTTGATCACGTGAAAGTGGAAGCAAATAGCAGGATGTTTAAGGAAGACAGAATATTTTAATTAGCACTAAGCTACTTTATCACAATGAGATAAGCACTAATATTTCTGTCCACACTTAAATCATTGTCATCATTCTGCATCACGGCTCTGTGTAATGATGTGCAGCATGCGTTGCAATATGCTGTTAAAGACACTGGCAGACAAAGACAAAGAGGAGCATTTAGAGTTAATGCTATATTCCTCTGAATGATAGTGTAAACATCATGGCTCTCCTTTGTCTCTTGTACTGCTGCCAGTAATTATGAAATGCATAGTTTAAGGCCATGATTGTGGTAAAATAACACAATTATTTGTTTTACTATCGTGAAACCTTTTCGATAATACTGATGTTCTTGGATATACATTAAAATGCCTTTCCATCACTGAACTGAGTGTTAAAACTCAGACTACAAATGTAGCACAACACAATGTATACTACTCTCCACGTGAGCCTGTTATAATCCAGTGTGTCTGACACATACATGTTTTATAATGCAGTGTCTGTCCACTGGGAAATAACACCTGCTCTCTAAAGCTTTGTACAGCTTGAACTTTAACAACATGTTATAATGAGAGCTTTATGTTCCTTCCACATCCCTGGAAGAATATTTGCTATCGATGGCTGGTGGGAATACAATTCCATTTGTTTATTGCCTTATTGATGGGACACTGGGAACTGCTACATTTGATAATGGATTTTCTGTACCAAAGAATATGCAAGTCAGCACTCTGTGGATGTCATTATATGCAGCAAAATTACTAATCCCTCAAATAGGTTGTCTGGAGATGTATGCAGCTCATATAATATCAGCATCATATATAAACAAATATACAGTGTGCGTTGTCATGATTGTTGTATACAGGTCCTAATGACTGTTTTCCAATAAAAGTGCAACCATATGTTTGTCTAATGTTATCAGCTATCTAAGGTAAAAAAAACAAATGCATCATTTATATCAGCCATATGCTGCCAACAAGCTGAAGCATCAGTCAGCTGGATGGGTGACAATCAAATCAAAAGTGATTCAGCTTTGTGTGGCAATCTCACAGGCAGAGATGAAGGGAAACCAAAGCCTCTTAAGTAACATTAGACC